ACCAAGATTTTGTTCATCTAAGGATATTATTTTTCTCTGCATCCTATTAAAGACGTTATTTCCCAGACCCAGTGAGTCATAATTGTGCGCTATTATAATCTATCACAGTTTTGTTTGAAACTTCAAAGATCTTATCTGACATACCTAATTTTTTCATGTTCTGTAATGAAAGACTGCAACTCAATCCTGTAATTTTAATATTGGTATGATTGATTATTAAGGTAGTGTTTTTCATACGGTGCATTTATGAAACTGGACCAAAGCTAGCCTTTTAGTTTTTTCTCTTTAGGCCTTTGAATATCCCTAGCCAAAATTATTTCTTGTTTTTATTGCATACCTTGTTGATTCTTCAACAAGAAGAATTAACTAATAAGAGAGAACTAATAAGAGAGAACTTCTTAGATGGCTGTTTTTTAAAAAAATATCCTTGCAATCCTTCATAGCTTCAAGGGAAAAAAAGAGCAGAGCACAGCTTTTCAAATTGCTCTCAGTTATAAAAGAAATATATTCATTACCATGTCATGAGAGAGAACACTTAAAAAAACAGGAATCATCCATTGAAAAGGGTTATTCTTTTCTGCAAGTTTTCCAAAATATGCACATTCAGTTGTCATGCAGGAAATGAAGCAGGTCTTAGTAGTGGAATTCTAATGCTGCATCATGTTCCTTAGTCTACCTACCCAGAGAGAGAGAGAGAGAGAGAGAGAGAGGGGGAGGGAGGGAGGGAGGGAGGGAGGGAGAGAGAGGGAGGAAGGGTGGGAGGGAGAGAAGGGGAGAGTATATACCAGTGGTTCTCAAACTTTTTAATGCCGCGACCCCAACCGGTCGTAAGTCGAGGACTAAACCGGTCATAAGTCGAGGACTAAACCGGTCGTAAGTCGAGGACTACCCAACTGGTCGTAAGTTGAGGACTTTCCCTGCCCAGGAGCGCCGCGCATGCGTGGTTCCGCCCTCTGCGCCGGCCGAGGCGTAGCTGGCAAGCGGCAGAGATGGAGCAGGCCGACCACCAGCTGGCCCAGCCCAAGGGAGGTAAGGCACCTGCCGGAAAAGGGGAAAAAAATGCCGGACATAAAAAATGGCGGACAGCCTTGCTTGGCGACCCCCGTGAAATGGTCGATCAACCCCAAATGGGGTCCCAACCCACAGGTTTAGAACCACTGGTATATACAGAATAAAGTCATGCCAATGTCAAGTAATAGTAATATTTAACTACTGTTGATTACCTGGATATATCTGTGTTATTTTGTTGGCAAAAACATGGGCACAGTTTGCCATTGTTCTCTTCTTTTTTTAACTCCCCAATCTAGACTACAGCCCTGGGATTTCCAGGTCTCCAACCAGCCACTAACCAAACTGGAATCTACTTAACTTTTTCACGATCAGCTATATCAAGATATGCTATGCACATTTTCTTTCCATTCTTTCAAATGTAGAAAAAGCAAGTTGAAATTTTGCAATCATTGTCATGCTAATGAAGAAAATAAGATGTTGAGAAGAAAATGCTGTCAATAAACCAACTTTCCAGTTGGGTGTGAGGTTTATGTATTTAACAAAAATAATAATAACTGCACTATTGTACATTGAATAGAGAGAAATGACCCACCAATATTTCATGGTCAAAGAAATTGTTAGTTCTTCTATGCAATCTAAATTTTCCAAACAGTGTTATTACTTGTGTTATATTCACCCTAGAAAAATAGCATATCCACATAAAAAATATTTGTGCTTTTTACATAATGAGGTCTGTATTTACTGTTATTTTCTATTTATTCTGGTCAGGCACCATCATCACCTTCTTCACCCACAGCTAATGAACCAAAATATGAGAAGCGTTGGCTGGATACCTTATCAGTTCCTTTATCAATGGCTCGAATTTCGAGGTACAAAGCTGGAACAAATAAATTAAGGTTTGTAATATGAAAGTTAAAAGGTTAAACTACCTAACCTGCATCTGTTATTTATTTGGAGATAGTGGATCTTTGTAAATATTTTAACAAGGTTTAGGCTTTCTCAGAAGATGTGCAATGAGCACCAATAGTATCTATTAAGCATATCAAGAAATAATTGGGCTTTATTCATTATATGAAAAAAATGGCTAGTTTCTTTAGGCATCATACGTGGAAAAGATCAAGGAAATAAATTGCTTCTATACAAACTATGGGCATTTTTGTTCGTTTAATGTAGTGATCTATTGAGATATAAAACGTTATAAGGATTTCTGTTATAAAGATTTCACCAATGCAACTGAAATATTTTGGAAGAACAAATGACTATCTTGGAAGATGGGATGAAAACTGATAGAAATTGGTTAGCATAAATTAGAACTTTCTCAGCTTGAAGTTTCACTTCTACGTACACTCATTGGAAATGCATCCCATTAATTGTAGAAATGCAAGCAGGTCACAAGGGCATGAATGACAGTGAACAAGGCCTCTCAGTTCAGGAATGACTGCTACACTGGCATACAACCTGCAAATCATGACTGCCACCTGCTCTTCCAGTAGGAACTGTGAGTCCAAGAGGACCCCCGGATTGTGCATTTTAGCATCCTCATGTAGATTTTAAATAGGAAGGGAGAGAAGATCAAACCTCAGCTCTCGTCAAAAGTCTTCCACACTTTGCTACAGTATACTATGGTTCTTTACCAGTTTTGTTCTGCCCCACCCCAGGAAGTCTTCCCTTTATTTCCTGGTTCAAATCTTTGACGTCAGAATCAGGAACAATGGAATCTTCCTCTGGTTTTCCAGCAGGCTTGGCTTAGCATCTGAGACCCCAGATTCCTGAAGGAAAATAATCTTCTCTCTCTCTCTCTCTCTCTCTCTCTCTCTCTCTCTCTCTCTCTCTCTCTCTCTCTCTCTCTCTCTCTCTCTCTGTGTGTGTGTGTGTGTGTGTGTGTCTGTCTGTCTGTCTCTGTTTCTCTCTCTGTCTCTCTCTCTCTGTGTCTCTGTCTCTATCCCTCTCTCTCCCTCCCCCTCTCCCCCCTCTCTCTTTCTTTCATGCACATTTATTAATGTGCATCAAGTTGGTATCAGTTTTTTGTAACCACATAGGAAGATTTTGTTTGAT